GTCTTATTGTAAGCTACATAGGCATTGTAAGGTTCGGACGAAGACATATTTGAATTTTTAGTAAGCATTATCCTGTGCAGAAGTTCAGTAAAACTCCTTCAAACAAGACATTTGACACAATAATATATGGAAAAATATTTCATTTTATCAAAAAATCTCTTCGTCCAAACCTTCCATGCCCTTTTCTGAATATAATGAAATGAGCAGAAATCCCTTAAACATATCTGTCATTACACGTTTTGATAAAGCGTACGTGTCTGTAGGCATACCCGGCAAAACCGGGCCTCTCACTCTTAACACTATGCCTCGAGTACAAAGACTTCGTCGAATTCCTCAACTTAGTGATTTCGTGGGAGTACGAATTGTTGGCTTACGTGAGGCAGGTTTTTTAGTTAAAGAAATTTCAAGAAGAACCAATCGATCTTTGAATTCTAAGATGTTATCAGTCATGGCGATGAATCTCGCTTTTATTTGGGTATGCACGATGGACGAGCAAGAGTAAGAAGGCGTCGTGGTGAAAGACAAGCTCCCCAGTTTGATGTGGAGAGGCATATGTTCACCATACTGTTAGTTTAATGATATGGGGTGCCATTGCATATGGTAGCAGGACACCTTCAGTCTTTATTAGAGGCAACATGACAGCTCTTCGTTATATTCACGAAGTAGTGGAGCCTCATGTCCTTCCATATCTTGAGACCATCGAGAACCCCACATTTAACGCTAGACCGCATGTGGCTAGGGTAACTCTAGACTTCATAGATCAGCATGACATTAACCGCTTATCATGGGCACCCAGATCGCCTGATCTTTCACCGATCGAACATATTCTTGGTCGCAGACTGCTGAATTTACAACAGCCCCCACGGACTTTGGCAGCACTTAAACATGAGTTAGAAGTAGGGTGGAGTCCAACAGGATAGAGAACACGTTATCAGGAGAATGACCAGACGTATCCACGAGTGTAAAGACATCGAGGATCTGCAACATACTACTGAACTTCACTGGTTTCACGATCATCCAATTTCTCTGAAAACTTACCTTTCTTTGTCACTTAGTATATCTGGATTATTGATAAATCGATCAAGTACGTATTGTTGGGATAAGCGGTTGAATTGTAAATATTTCTAAGAATACGTATCGATGCAAGAACGGATATTTGAGATTGCCAGGAGATCAAAACGTTGTATTTAATATTTTGAACCGTCTGTATCTGAATCCCTTGCCGATAACTTATTCAAATATTGTTCTTAAGATCGGTTGGCCGTGATGCAGTACTGCAAACAGTTGAGCTCCTCATTGATATTAATGTATAAAGAAGGTCTGTCGACAACTCTAACCAAACCGAAGAAACAAGATCCTCGAATACTATTAGTCATGTTTTTTTTTCAGATTTATCTTGGACCAGATTCGGTTCCCTTCCTCTTCGTTCCAGTAAGGCCCGCGCGAACAAGGAAAATGAACTATCCAATAAGAAACACAAGGATATTTCGAAGTGGCTTCGAGAAATGGAACTTGAGGAATACCAGGAAAAGTTCCAGAAGTTTCAGGGAGTCGAGGATTTGTTGGAATTCTCTGAGCAGGATATCAAGGAGCTGGGAGTGAAGAAGTCCTCGCACAGGGCCAGGATCATCAGCAGTCTTACGTGTCTCCGTGCCAAATATCATGGTAAGACTGGTTTTATTTTCATCAGGAATATGTCTATGAACTTTTCGAAGTAAATTTTGAGAGTTTTTATACCAAAATTGATGATTTGAAGGAACGTACTAATAATCGCACGTTAAAAGGTAAGACCTCGTTAATCATTAGCTCGTAAAACTTTCGACTTCTGAGTTTGCAGGGGGCGACGGCTGGTTAACAGATTTCATGGAACTAGAACCTTAGATTTATTCGTATTTACGTACATACTTCCTTGCAGATATTCATGGAACTAGAACCTTAGATTTATTCGTATTTACGTACATTCTTCCTTGCAGATATTCATTAACATTAAGGAGTCTGTTGTCAGATAATTCCATAAACATGTCGAACATTCCATGATTGTTATACTTATTGATTGAAATCATTCTCTTGGAAAAACATTTCAATGTACCTCCTCCGGCTTGGTTTACTTCTTTTTCAAATATTTCAGTTTTCTTCTTCCACTATGGTTTCCTGAATCAGGATTTGTTACAGAATTCAAGAAAATATTAACTATTTTGAAAATTGTCGAAACTCCAGGGCTGAGGATTTTTTCCGGCCATTTTTTGTCCAGGTTCTTGCTAATATGAAGGGCAAAACCTGAAAGTTGTTCATAAATAGATAGATAGATAGATGGATAATTTATTGGTATCAGGACAGTCTTCTTATAAGTACATCTGAGTTATATCGACAAGCACACTCAAAAACAAAGCAGTAAAAATTAAAATTGGGTATTATAAAACAAGGACAAATGTCTATATGGTTAAAGAACTTATATTCCAGTGCAGGAATTCTTCGGTGCTGAAAAAGGCGTTTTTTTATTAAAAAACATTTTAAACGTATTTTAAATATGTTATTAGGTAGAGATCTTATTTTTTGTGGTAATTTATTGTAAAGTTTCACAGCCCAAAAATTTGGTCCATTTTGACATCTTTTTAAGCGGCAATAGTTTGTGCTCAAATTATTTTTATGTCTAGTGTTGTGGTCGTGCACATTTTCAAAGCTTTCATATTGAGATAGATTATTTTTTATGTATATTAAATTTTCCATGATATATAGAGAAGGAAAGGTTAGTATTTTTAATTTAACGAATGAATTTCGACATTCATCTCTTTAGTCGATATTGTCTAATATTCTAATTGCTTTCTTTTGTCACAATCTGTTGCATGTCCCCAGGCGAAAAAACCATAAGAAATAATGGATTTATACAAGGAAAAATATGCCGTTCGAAGAGTTGCTTTTGAAACTTGTCTGGAGAGGTTTCTTAGTGAAAATAGATTTCTCATGAGTTTTTTTGATAGTTCATTCATGTGATGATCCCATTTTAACTCACTGTCAAAATTAATTTCCAAAACTTTCACACTACTTTGCGAATTTGAGTAATTTTCCATATTTCTTAGGGTGAGTACCTCATCTAGAGTTTTAGCATTTGTTTGAATTGTAGTATTATCTGCATATAGAATATATGATATCGGGTTCTCCTGATATGGTAGGTCATTAATGAAAATTATGAATAGTAGAGGTCCCAAAATAGATCCTTGCGGTACACCAGTTATATTTTTTTTCTTGTTGATTGAGAATCGCCCACTTTCACAGTTTGAAATCGATTTTCTAAGTATGAGTTGTCATATAGTTATATAGTTTTAATTTATTCAAAAGAATTTCATGTGATACACAATCAACTGCTGTGCTTAGATCACAAAAAATTATTTCTGTATACTCTAGTTTTTCAAGTTGTTGTAATTTTGTTGCTAAGATCTAGTATCGCCATTTCAGTGTTTCTACCTTTTCGGAATCCATACTGGCAGTCTGTGAATATGTCATAATTCTGAAAATGATGTGCAATTTTTAGAGATATACATTTTTCAAATATTTTTGATATTAGTAGCAGAGGTAGGTATTACTAATGCTTCTTTCAAGACGAAGGGGAAAATGCACTCTTTTGTACACTCTTTTGTACATAAACATTTTTCCAGGTTTCTACATCTTTTATTCTTACAATCTGCATTTTATTAGTGATATCAGATTACAAGAATTTGTATGCATTGTCTCTTATTTCGAATATCTCTAAAGTAATGGTTAACAGTATCAAAAGCTTTTGATAAGTCACTGAAGATGGTTTGCTTTCATCTACTGTTTCGTAAACATTATGGCTAACTAGAATATTACATTTTCTCTAGATTACACAACAAAATTAGGAATGTTCTTAACCACTTTTAACACTAAAATTAAAAAATCAGTAAGTAAACTTTTGAAATGTATGTATTTTTATCATCCCCTTTGTAAGTCCAAAACTTCACACTCGATGAAAAAATTTTGTCAACTTTGAGAATATATTTCGATTGAAAATATGCTTGAAATAAAATCCAACGGCTGTGAGCGATGCTTTTTCTGAAAACAAAGAGAAGCCGGTCCCTGTTTCGATTTCTTTAGCGCACCCTGTATATCTACAGTAGTTGACTGTATCAACTTTATTGAGTTTCATAAAATATGAAACTTTAAAATGTTTCAACGGAACTTTTTTATTTCAGAGAACGTAGTTCGAAAACCTCCAATACGACATAGCGTGGCTGTAGATAGTAGAAATAAAATTGAACGAGAAGATATTTTGTAAGTATTCATCCTTATTTTCACCTTTTGAATCCCATTTAACAGAAAAAAGTAATTTTTGACAGACATAATCACCGGTGCAGTTTAATCTGGCCTGTTAAAAATTGTTTTGTTTGTCCTACATACGTCATATCACAATCGAAACATGGTATCCGATAAATAACATTCGCACGATCCGATACTAGTATTTGTCTTTTAGTTTGGGACAGATATAGTTCTTCTGAATCTTTATGTTATATATTTTTTTAGAGTTGTCAATATGGATAATTCTTTGATATGAGGTAAATAGTCGTATCAAACCCAAACAAAAAGCAAAGAATCTTCAGATGTTTCGACTCAGTGAAAGCAATGAACTAACTAGGGAACGCGGGTAGATAACGATAATATTTATATCAGCTTTCAGTTCTCATAGTAAAACGTCGTCCGTCATACAAACACACTAAGTTTGAATTGCCACTAGAGTGTTAACGATGGTGTTAATTTCAATTTTATGACGACAGGTATAACATGTAATAGCGGGAAAAGGTGTTAAAACTGCGGTTGTATACAATTTCAGTGAAATAGATTAGGCGGGACTGGACTAGTTTTGTTTTTTGTTGTGTAATTACAGGACTGTGAACCAAGTTATGCACATGCTCCTTCCCACACGACCTCGTTTGAAAATATTGCTTGCATTATTTTAATTACCAGTATCAGTCGGAATGTTATCAGNAAATGAATATTCTTAACAAACATGTATTGCATTGTTCCATTAATATCACCAATAATATAATAAGACCACTGTACATTTACAGAAACATACAACATGATAATATACTCGTGCGTATATTTCTAGTAGAATAAAAATACTTCAATTCAATCTCTCATTGATTCATATCAAGCTGAGTAAAATAAAAAATTATCACAATATAAATATTTGGGAATTGTCGCAAAACTGAACTCATTTACGGTTCGACCGACTTTCATGATTTTTTTGATTTGTTGAATTTGTCTCCATGGACGTAGAAATTTATTTTTCTACGTCCATGTCTCTGCCCGAATTAGCAGAATAACTATCAAACAATTTGAAATACATACTAGAAAAAG